GGGCAAAAAAGAAGAATTCTTTAACCAAAAGCCGAGCCGACCCCTTGAGTGTTACGGGGAAAGCCCGACACATGATTTCATCGGGGAATGCATGGAGGATCATGAGGGTTCTGTAGGTTCCTAAGTGATCGACTGCGTCCGTTTGTAGCCGTCGAAAGAGTCGATGGTGGACATTTTGAACTTGAGAGGTAGAGGTTTGTCCCGGATGGAGGCAACAAATGGTGAGTTGGCTGTGGTGGATGGTTTATGCTGTATGTTCTACATGACTCCTTGGAGCTGGAGCTTCATGGCTCGGAGTTTGCATCCTAGAGAGGAATGTTGTCACCACCGGAGGGCAATGGGGCTAGATGCTACTGGCCCTCATCGGGGGTTGGTACCGGAGGACCGATGGATGCGGGGCCCGAGGTGCAGGTTTATATCCGGGAGGGGGGCTCGCAAGTCTTCCAAGTTGGGTAGATTGGGCTGTTAGGTAGTATGACTCGGAGCTCGTTCTTGGTTGGGTGGGATATGTGGAGGTGGTGGAGGGGCAATGAGGGTTTCTTTGGAGTAGAGCATTAATCAAGGCTTGATTTTGCTCGGGCAGGCGGTTAATGTTGTTGGTGAGCTCGGTGAAATACTGTGGTGGGTTGTTTGGAATTGGGAGGGTCGGCTTGGTGGTCAGCAACATTGTGGTGAGAAGCCATGGATCTAGTCATGACCATACACCTTGGTGGGTGGCAGGAAAGGGTTATTGGGACAGGGTCTCCGGTGACAATGAGCACAATCGGGCGCGAGCAATAGGCTTTCCACAGACGGCGCCAACTAATGATATTGCGAGTTTCAGAAGGAAACGGGTCAGACTGATCCACGCTTCTCAACCCAGTGTCTAATGTAGCAAAACCCACCAGAAGACCTGCACAAGAGTTCAACGGGGACGGGGAGTCCTCCAGCGAACCCTCCGACGAGCAAGTAGAAAGAGAAGTGGAATGTAGAGATAGATTAAAGATAGAAAGCTTAACCTTCTTCATGTCCTCGACGTCTGCTTATATCCTCTGGTAATCATTTCGTTGTCCCTTCCGACTTGTCACCTTAGCTGAAAGTCTATGCTCTAGCTTACCTTATTCATGGTGAGGCGTTCTGTCCCGACGGAGAGGGGTTATCGCAATAAATGCTGTAAGAGGCTTCATTAATGGCGATGTGCAGTGGCAATAACTTTGTAGATCTTTGTCTACTTATGTGGCTTGCCCTTTCTCTTGCCATGTGTCTTGATGTCATTGGTTTTTATTGCTACGTGGGCCTTCAGCAATGCTGGGCTTAGTATTTGAGTTATGTATTGGACCCTAAATGGTGGGCTATAATCTTTATGGGCTTATCCATGTCACTATTACTTAGTAAACAATTAGAAAATTGTAAAATAGTCTTTTGAACATTTATAAAATTATTTTTTTAGTGTTGTTAATTTAAATTATGTATAATAAAAAATTAAATTATAATTATAAATTTAATTTAATTAAAATAATAAACTAAAAATTATTGCCTTAAATTAAATTTTTTAGTGTTGTTAAAAAAATAAATTTACATATTAAATAAAATTATTTTTTTATTTTGTTAATTTAAAATTAAATATATTATAAAAATATAAATTATAAATTAAATTTATTTAAAAAATAATAATTATAAATTATGGCCTCATAAATTAAATTTTTTAGTTTTCTTGAAAATTTAATTTATATATTAATAAATTTATTTTTTATTTGTCGTTAATTTAAAATTATATATTAAATAAAAAATATAAATTAAAATTATAAATTTAATTTAATTGAAAATAATAAATTAATAATTATGGTTTTATAAATTAAATTTTTTAGTGTTGCTAAATTATAAATTATAGATTACATATTTAAAATTATATATTAAATAAAAATTATAAATTACAAGGGTAAAATAGTCTTTTGAACATTTATCCTTATCTAGTTCGTCTAACCAAATTATTGAATTCAGTAAAAATAGTTCAATCTAGACATATAATCCCATGACTAAACAAATATAGAATACAAATCCAGTCTAATCAAAATAGTTCAGGAACAATATATCTCGGGACTAATAGTCTGATGGATTACAATCCCCCCTTATTCAGTCCATTCAAACAAACACACCCTTAGGCTATGTTTGATTTCACAAGATTAATAATGAGATATTAATAATCTCAATCCCATCCTGTAATCCATCCAATCAAACATGCCCTTGAGTGAATATCCTAAAGCCAAATAAACCAAACAACAAGGTATATTGTCGGTCCACTCAATCCTAAGCCACTCCCACCTATGGATCAGGATACAAACATGACTAGGGGTTGTTTGGAGTATCTTAAAAATAAGTGTACTTTTTGTCTTTTTAAACTAAAAAGTTGAGAAAAAAATATATGGATGTTTGGGTTAACTTTTTGACTTTTTATAAAAAAATGCATATAAAAAATTGTATAAATAAGTGTATAAGGGAATAAAGTGATGGAATATGGCATACGGTTAGAAGCCTAAAGGGCAGTGCGGCAAAGGGCAGTGTAGGAGATTGATTCTCTACTTTTCAGGCATAAATTAGGTGGTTCTGTTCGGCCATGGGGGCCACCACGGGTCCCATTTTACTAATCGGAACCGTTTATTGTGTAGAACTCGTCGAGTATTATATGCTTGTAAAAAATCACGTTAATTGGATATTGATAGCTATCTGATCGTGTCAGTTTTTTTTTTTTTGTTACTGTTAACTATAACACTATCCATTTTTACACAAAATGATTTGATCATGTATTTAGCGATATCTGATAGACGTGATTTTTTATAAAAATATAGTACTAGACGAGTTCTACTTATTAACGATTCAGATTATCAAAATGGGACCTATAGTGGGCCTCTACGGGCCCAACTCTACCATCTAATTTAGTGAATATTTTATTATAATTTTTTTCCCCGGTCACCGACTTCACCATCTCGTCAGTACCAATCCATGAGTTTATTTTTGATTTGTATTAATATGTGTATATTATTTTTTTACTCATATTTTTTTAGTGAATAATATTAATTTTTTAACTTTTTTAAATAATTTTTTATTTTTTAAAACTTTTTAAGAGTGGCCAAACTTGATCCTTAGTTGGAACGAGTTGTTATCGAATTGAATTTGAGGCGTTTCTGTTGATTTACAGACGGTGACCAGTATTGGAAGTACGAACCACTGCACAAGGCTGCTCTAGCAGGAGACTGGGAAAAGCCAAACGAATCATTGGTGGAGATCGAGATGCACTCGCAGCCAAGATCACCCAAACAAAGGAGATTGCACTCCACGTGGCAGTTGCAACACGGTGTCCTAAAATTATATGCAAGATTTATCATAAAAAAAATAATAATTAGATGATGATTTGTGCATTGCACGGCTAAATTTTTTTTAAAATATTAATTTTAATTTAAAATATTTATTTTAATAATTTTAACTCTCTCACTGTATAAAAGTGTTACTTGCATATTTAAATATAATAAATTTAGTTAAATTATTTATTTATTTTGATATTTTAATTCTATTGAATATAAATGTGTAATAATCATATAATGATTCTATATGATATATATTAAATTATATGATAGATAAAATAAATATTTATTTTGATATTAAAAATAATAGTTAAATTGAAAGGAGAATTAATAATAAAAAAATAGCGCCCAATTAGTAACACATTAATGTGTGTTTGAGAGTAAAAAGATTGAGTATATACCAAACATTTGGCATAGTGTACAAAATGATTGTCTCGAGAGTTAAACCCATTAACCTCAAGGTTTTTACCCTCAAGGTTAAAAGTGATTATAATTATTTAATTTTCTTTAATAGTCATTTGAAAAATAAGAATATGTAGAAATAAAAACTATTATAAATTTATTTAAAAAATAAAATATAAATATGTTGTAGTTAAATTATCATATAATAATTTATATGATATATATTAAATTATAAGATAGTATATATAAACACTCATACAAATAATAGTTAAATTAGAAAGAGTATTATTAATATAAAATTAAAAGTGATTCTAATTAATTTTACTTTTATTTTGATTTGAAAATAAAATATGTAGAAATGAACTACATAAAAATTATTTAAAAGATTAAATATAAAAATGTTGTGATTGGATTAAGAAGAAAATACATTAATTAATTATATAAATTATTGATTTTTTTCTTAACATTCTTTTGAATTATTCATACATATTGCATATAGGTATATAAAATTTAAATTAAATATAATTATTTTAATATATAATTTCATGTTAATTAAAAATTAAATATAAATTAATATTAAGACACTTATAGGATAGACAAAAAATTAAAAAAATAATAAAGAAAATTAATTTGATCCAAGCGATACACATAATCAAGCATGTTTTGTCTCATTTATTTATTTGTATATCCAGATAAATAAAAAAATTTTCAACTATCATGATAATTAAATTAAAATATCAACTACATAAAAAAATAATAATGACAAAATAAATACACGATGGAAAACACATGAAAAAAAAATATTTCTCAAATAGAGTTCATATAAAATTAGTTAGTATAATTGAAATTAAGTTTGTGTAGAACTCTATATGTAAATAAAAAAAAACATATTGAAAAAAGTAAGCCTTTGAAATGTGCCACATAAGAAAGGAAAAAATACTACTTCATCTATCTATCTATCATCTATCTATCTATCTGTCTGTCTGTCTATATATATTTATATACTATATATATAACCAATATAGTTGTTAGGTCAAAAGGCTCCAAAATTCAAATCCTAAAAATTTCATAATTTTGAAGGGGGAAAAAAATAATTACGTGACACCTCCCTTCATTCCCTTCCTACTATTCAAGCCTTATCACTACCTTTCTCTATATAAAAATAAAATAATAAAATTGTTCATACTCCATATCCATCACTCACAATAATATCCATCTCACTCTCAATTTAATATCATGTTATTAAAACAAAAAAAATAATAAAAAATAAAAGAAACCTACAACTCAAATAATAAAATATTCACATATATATCCATTACTAATAATAATATCTATCCCACTCTCAATTTAATATCACGATATTAAAAACAAAAAACGAAACCCATAACTCCTACAACTCCCATACACACGTTTTCTACTATTCAGGCCTTCTTACTTCCTCTCCCGATAGAAAATATAAAATAAAAATAAAATAATAAAATATTCATTCATATCCATCATCTACAATAATATCTATCTCACTCTCAATTTAGAGCAATGCTACATTCACTTAAAATCTTACTAAAAACATATAAGTCCAAACATCATTAGATATTTAAATGTCATTATTCTTTTGACAACCAATCACATTTGGCCTCTTATATTTTTAGTAAGATTATTAATATGTGTAGAATTATTAATTAATTTAATATCACGTTATTAAAAAAAAAAAAACCCACAACTCCTAAAACTCCCACACATGTTTCTCTATTAAGTTTATTTCAGTCAAATTCAATCATTCTCTCATCTACCCATCTTTTCTCAGAATAACTCATCTTTTCCATTGTTACATTTTGTATGTTTCATGATCTGCAAAAATCATTACAAAGTCACTGTAATATTATTATATATATATATATATATATATTCAATATTTGTTACTTGATGTGTATGCATTTCTTTTTTTTCAATATTTTTTAGTTCATCTACACAACTTTTCATTTTCTCCATTTTTATACTCCTAATATTATTTCTTATTTTATATGCATTTTTTCAGTATTTATTACATCTGTGTGTATATATTTCTTTTTTCTAATATTTTTTAATTCATCTACACATCTTTTCATCTTCTCTATTATTACATTCTATCATTCTCTCATGTACCCATCTTTTCTCAAAATAGCTCATCTTCTCCATTGTTACATTTTGCAAGTTTTATGATATGAGAAAATCATTATAAGGTCAGTGTAATATTATTTTTTTTCTTTGTAAGTATTTTTTCAGTGTTTGTTATTTTGTGTATGTATATTTCTTTTTTACAATATTTTTCATTTCATCTACACATCTTTTCATCTTTTCCATTTTTATGCTCCTAATATTATTTATTAAATTTAATGTTTTCATCTTTATTATGGGCAATTAAAACATGTTAAATTGATTTTGTATTTTGAATAATTCTTAAAAAAATAATAATAATAAATACAAAAGCAAAAATTTATTGAATTTTTCAAAAAAAATTAATAAATAAATAAATTCACAAATATTATACTTCTTAGGTACATTTAAGTTAAATGCATCTAAAATATAACAAAAATTGATGAAAATATTAAAAGAAAAATAACTAAATAAAAAAATGTATTTGAAATTCAAAACTCAAAACTCAAAAACTATACTACAATGTGGTTACCAAAATTCCGATCCGGATTGCAGGATCTTAAAGTTGGACCAACGATCCAAATCACACTAATCTAGCTAGGTTAAACGATTCAGATTACATTAGGATTTTAAGTTTAGTAGGATCCTAAATACGATCTAAGTAATAAAATTGTGTCAATTTTACTAGATCCCAATCCTAACCCCCCCAAACAGACACACAAAATTATTTCTTATATATGTATGTATATGTGCATATCTATAGTAACAAATTTGCGTTTAAACTCTTTCTCGTGATATATCATCTAATTTATGTTAATATAAAAGATTCATTATATTAAATTTATCATTTTTCTTTAATAATTTTAAAATTATTTAACATATATATTTTTTTTTCAAGCAAAAATAAACTTTATTGAATCAAAACTAATGATAAATTCTTTACATCTTACATCAATTAAAAAAGACAGACAAAGGAAGTGCTATAAACATCATAGTGAAACCTACTTATCCCAATTAAGTTGGCATAAGAAGGGCCATAATTTCTTATTGGGCAAATTACATATACCCCCTCAAGGTTTAGCAAAATTACAGATACCTACCTGAGATTTGAGAAATTACTGATACCCCCCTGAAGGTACTATTTGCATAACAAATTAGGGTGCAAATTGTTATAAAAATATAAACCTCAGGGGGCAATTTGTTATGAAAATATAAACCTCAGGGGGGTTTCTGTAATTTTCGAAATCTTAGGGGGTATCCATAATTTAGCTAAACCTCGAGGGAGGTATATGTAATTTTCCCTTTCTTATTTTATTTTGTATTGAAAGTAGAATCTTATAATTCTAGATTCAATTTTACAATCCAAACCATAAATCCATCCCAACAATCCCATCTAAGATCCCAATTTTAATAAGCCTAATTACAACAACAACAGGTAAGTCAATCGAGTTCGTGAAGAATTTGGTAGATTTGATGCCAGTGAAAATGCTGGAACTGACTGATTGTGAAGGTCACACTGTCCTCAACACTGCAGCCCGGTACGGCAACACAGAGGCTGCTAAAATTTTAGTAGCCAAACACTCAGATTTGTTATACATTCGCAACAAAAAAGATTGGTTACCTCTCCATAGGGCTGCTCAAAGTGCTCATGAGGAAACCCTTTCATATTTATTAATGGTCACTAAACCTGATCGCAAGACCAAAAAACCAATTGAGAATGATTGGAAGCACATGGCCCCCTTTGAAGATGATTCGGGTGTTGAGCTTCTTGTTCGTGTCATAGCCTCTGGATTCTACGGTGAGTTTTGCCACCACCTTTGGTATCTCATATCATATTCATCCATACTGGTATTTTAGACCTTTCTGTATTAGCTGCATGGTTCCAAATCTCTGTATCGGTTAACGGTATCGATCATGAAGTATTGGTATTGATAGTATCGACTGGTGCGTATCGGGAATCAAGTGTCGCGACCATGAAATTTCTTAACCAATTTTCAGCACTTTCTTTCTAGTAATAGTGACTATCGGCCCATCACGACTTGTGTAACGATTACACCCCGTACGTAACGGGAACCGGCTGTGATGCTGATGATTTTTGTTCAAACCGGGTATCCGTAACGGGCCTTGATTTTCCGATACGTATCGGTCAGTACACTACATTCCTGGTGATTTTTTAGAACTATGATTAGCTGATATTGTGTCACACAAAACAATATTTTTTATTATATTATCCATACCAGTATATATCCAGAGCTGGTTATTAAAAACTATATATTGCCCCCTTTTTGGAAAGACCTGAATAATAAGTAACTTTTTCTTTTTATTTTTTTGGGTAAATAAAAAAGTGAACAAGTAAATAAACTTGTTTGGATTTACTTCTTCATATAAAAAATAAAATAAATAAAAACACATTTTTTTTTGATCGGCAAAGAAAAATTCTATTAAAAACATGAAATTTAAAGGTACAAGGAAATAAAACGCATTGAGAGAGATTCGAAAAGTAAAGACTCACTCTTCTACTATTGCTACTCGCGTTCTTACCACCAACCTCTTAGCCTTACGATTTTATATTTTAAAAGAAAATTAAAAAAACAAACCAAACTCTTGAACCCCACACCTAAAATACTGTTACACTGATAAACCCCACGTCTATCTCGAAAACACAAAAACCCCACGCTTGTCTTGAAAACCCTACGCCTATCCCGAACACCCTGCATCATTGTCAGACACTCAACCTCCATAATCGCCAGACACTCAGGCTCCATTGCCGTCGAGAACCACCCATGTCCGCAATACCTTCGACGCCGAGCAACATCGACAGCCTCTTCTTGCTTCACCTCTGGAACTATTTCTTCTGTTGGTTTCTCCTCCTTAACTCAGCAAATTCCTTGCTCTCGACTTCAACCTCCACCGGGACTGCTGCTGGTGCCTCTTCTATTGCTACTGCAGCCTCCTCATTTGGTTCTTTTTCAACAGCCACTGGCTCTGTCTCTAGGACTAGGGCTGCTGGTGCTGTCACCACGCTTGTAACCTGAAAACCCAGTTTTCCATCTTAAGCTTCTCCCATGGTTTTCCTCGCCCAAACAACTCCCTCAATTGATCCTCATCAACAATGCTGAGCAGTCTCCTCTTAACCGAACACAAACACCGACCACTATAGAATTGAACAAAATTCACCCCTCAAACTCCCACTCGCATAGGAGCACCCGAATGGAGATCCTAAACAACTCTGGATTCTCTACCCCTTAAACTCTCGCTCGCAAAGAAGTGCCTGAACCAACCCACCCATGTTCAACGCACCCATCCTAAACCGAAACCCATGGCTGAGGCTGAACACCATGGCCGAAGCACTACTTCCACCGAACCTTTCCATTCGAGAAAAAACCCACCAAAACCACCCATCAAAGCTTCTATGAGCACCAAAACCCACAGAGTGTAGACCCAACAAGCTTTCAGACCGCCAGATATGATAGATCTAAAGCCACCCAAGGAATACCTAGCTAAAAATGCAGAAGCACGCCTATGAAAACGAGCATCCTACACAAAAACGATAGAACCAAAACAGCATCCTAAGCAAATCTAGAGATTAGATCTGAAAAGGAGATAGTGGAAAACTAATGGGGGCTCAAGTTTATTAGGAGAAAAACCATGTACACAAGAAGAAAAGATAGGCCAGCCAACCGCCATGGCCAAAGGCGGCGGCTGACTGGCCAGCAATGAGGCCCGAGATGGAGGTTTTTTAGAAAGAGAGGTTTTAGAGAGAGAGAGAAAGAGGTTTTTTTTTTTTTTTTTTTTTTTTTTTTTGAAAAGAAGAGATAAAAATAAATAAAGAGAAAAAAAAAAATAGTAAAAGAAAAAGTGTTGCTCTCTCTCTCAGCACCGAGAGAGAGTAAAGTGCATTGGTTAGGGGATCACGTGGCTAGCTGGACTTTTCTGGGGTTGATGTAAATGGAGACTTGGGATGCGAGGTGGACCCAATAGTCCACTGGTCTTCTGGTTATACCTAGAACCCGCTTCAATAATCCTCATCCTCGCGAAATCAGCTTCTGGGCAAGGCTCCAATCGTCTGGGCAAGGACCATTGACTTTGTAATTTATGTACTGAGAGAGCAAATCCACAGATTTCTCACAAGAATGACCCACAGAGGCCACCATTTCAGTGATCCCAGTCCTTGAATCTTTGCCAAGTGGAAGCTCGTGTTGTTTGAGGAAGAGTTTGAGCTCGTTTGCGATGTTGGGTCGTGAAAGATCGATGCTTTCATAGCCGAGAAGCTCTTTCTCCATCTGGGCAAGCTTTTTCTGAGAAGAATCGATCTCTCTGAGGATGAGAGAGACTTGTTCGGAGATGAGAGAGATGTTCTTGTGAGAGTGGTGAAGTGGGTGGGGATTTGGGGAGGAAGTGAAAGCATACAAAGCGAAGAGATTAGTAGTGAGGACAGAGAAGAGCATGAGGACATTTACAGCTGAAGAACAGAGAGTTGCTCTTTTGAATCTGGCTGTTCCATCGCCTATCTTCAGTGAAACCGATCCCATCTCTGAGATCCAAGGGCAATTTGAGAGTAAACTTTTGCATCATCATCTTTCCGGCTGCTGAGGAGCTCGCGCCATGGGCGGCGCGTGGGTGCGTGTTGGCTCTGACTTGGCTAACTCGGGCAATGGCACAGGAGGCCACTGGTTTTGATTGATGAGAGGAAAAGTGGGATCCAACGGTTGTGATCGGATCTGGTGTTGCGGTGGTGAAAGTGTTGTTGAAGAATCTGCCATTGAAGAAGAAATTAGGGAAATTTGAGTTTGTCCGGCGGGCAGCCAAGGCGAGGTTGCCGCCCACCGGTGAAACAAAATTATTAGGTTCTTAACCTAGCTCTGATACCATATAAGAAATCAATGTAAAATAGAGAATTGTATATATGATTGTATTATTGATTGATTTGTGTATTATGTATATTACAAGGATTCCTATTATATAGGAGAGGATTTGGGAGTAGGTGAGGAGTAGGTGTAGGTGGTAGTGGAGGTGGTAGGTGGAGTGGGTGGTAGTGGAGGTGGTAGGTGGAGTGGGTGGTAGTGGAGGTGGTAGGTGGAGTGGGTGGTAGTGGAGGTGGTAGGTGGAGTGGGTGGTAGTGGAGGTGGTAGGTGGAGTGGGTGGTAGTGGAGCAGTTACTACCAATGGTGATCTCATGGTCGTTTGTGAAGATGATTGTATCAATTTTGTGGGCCAAGAGAGCAATTGGGTGATTGATTCTGGTGCTTCTTTCATGTGACTTCTCGAGTTGATTTCTTCACTACCTACACCAAAGGAGATTATGGTTCTGTTCGAATGGGTAATGAAGGTTTGTCCAAGATTATTGGCATGCGTGATGTTTGCTTGGAAACAAATTTGGGCTGCAAGTTGTTGCTTAAAGACGTGAGGCGTGTTCCCGACATTCGCCTTAATTTGATCTCTACTGGGAAGCTAGATGATGAAGGCTTCAACAACAAATTTGGTGATGGAATATGGAAGCTCACAAAGGGTTCTTTGGTGGTGGCTAAGTGCAAGAAGACTCATACACTTTATTCGATGCAAGGAAAAATTTGTAAAGGTGTTGTCAATGCACTTGAAGATGATACTTTTACCGAATTATGGCACAAGCGGCTTGACCATATGAGTGAAAAGGGGCTACAAGTTTTTGTAGGAACAATTTTCTGTGTAAATAAAATAACTAGAAATAAATTCAAACAAAATAAATAAATAACATACTGGATTTATTTATCGAATCAAATTAAAATTAAGACCAAGTCGAGTGTGTGACACTCTGTCCTTAAGACAGATTCGCCCCGCTACGGTGCTTACAGTTGAGTGGCGTTTATCTCCCAGGACACAATGATCTTAACCAATTTGTAGTAGCACTCCAAAACAAATTGTTCGGTGAACCAAACCTGTGTTCTAACTCTCTGAATATTTATTCTTAAATCTAAAATGAAGAATAATGCACTAAAAGAAATTTGGACAGCAAAAAGACAAAATTTGAGACTGTTTTTTCCATCCCCAAGACTGTTGGAAATACCATGTATTTGTAGGCAACTACAATAGACCCGAATAGGTGCAATATGGAAATGAACAGGTGCCCAAATGTTTTGAACAGATTTGATTCAAATGAACAGGTGCACTTCTTAAGTCAAACAATTTTGACTGTTGTTGAGACCAAATTTTCAAACAAATTAAAAAATGATCCGTTGGTTGTAACAGTTTCAAAACTGTTGGAATGCTTTTATTAAACTATTTAAATAGTTTAATCAATTTTAGGAAACCACTTAAGGAAACCAAAAATAAATTTATTTAAAATTAGATTCCCACAATAATTTTTATTGAAAAAATTCAAACGAATTTTGTCTAAAAAATTAATGTTAAACCCGAAAACGACGTCAACTTTCCATTCACTCATAAAATGGTTTTGACGTTCCGTCTTCACCGTGTGACTTGCCACGCGGTAAGGAACACATCACCTCTTCGGACTCACCCCAAAAGACCTTTGGGGCCCACTCAATTTTGGCCTCAAAGTTGGCCCAAAATACGCCATAGAAAACACTATTTTTTCCAACAGTTTTGTTCAAGAAAGAGCTTTTACCCGGTTTGAAAGGTACACATCTTAAAACTTGTGTTCATTGTTTGGCGGGTAAACAACATAGAGTTTCTTTTCATAAAAATGTTGCTTCTAGAAAAGAAAATGTTTTGGAGTTGATTCATTCGGATGTTTGTGGTCCTTTGAAAGTTAGAACACATAGTGGTGCACTTTATTTTGTTACTTTCATTGATGATTATTCAAGGAAAGTTTGGGCTTTTCTACTAAAAACTAAAGATCAAGTTCTAGAAGTATTTAAGCATTTTCAGGCCATGGTTGAAAGAGAAACAGGGCAGAAATTGAAGTGCATCCGATCAGACAATGGTGGTGAATACATTGGGCCATTTGATGAGTATTGTTGCAGCCAAGGTATTCGGCACCAAAAGACAGTTAAGAAGACTCCTCAACAAAATGGCATTGCTGAGAGGATGAACCGCACCATTGTGGAAAGAACAAGATGTTTTCTTTCATAAGCTAAATTGCCAAAATTCTTTTGGGGTGAGGCAATGAAGACAGCGGTTGATGTGATCAATTTGTCTTCTTCTCATCCTTTGAATGGTGATGTTCCTGAAAGAGTTTGGACCAACAAAGATGTGTCTTATGAGCACTTGAGACTGTTTGGTTGCTGAGCCTTTGTTCACATTCCAAAAGATGAGAGGTCCAAGCTTGATAGCAAGTCAAGACAATGTATTTTTCTTGGCTATGGGCGTGATAAATTTGGTTATAGATTATGGGATTTGGTCGACAAAAAAGTCATTCAAAGCCGTGATGTTGTATTTCTTGAAGACCAAACAATTGAAGACTTTGGCAAAGGTGATCAATCGAAGCCAAAAAGTAGTGATCTCATTGACATGGATCCATCTCCTTCATCTCCAGTTGATGATGAAAATGGGAGAGATGTGCAGCCACCCATTGAAGATGTAGAGGATGATGCTAATCTTAATGAAGTTGAGCTAGAAATTAAGGAAGAGCATCCAATTCAAGAACTGCCACCACAACTTGAGTTGAGAAAATCTACAAGGGATCGGCAACCTTCGAGAAAGTATCCTCCCAATGAATTTGTGTTGATTTCCGATCAAAGGGAGCCTGAGAGCTACCAAGAAGCAATTGAGCACACAAAGAAAGATGATTGGAAAAAGGCAATAGAATAGGAGATGAATTCCTTACTTGAAAATCACACTTATGATTTAGTGAAGTTGCCTAAGAGGAGGAAAATTCTGAAAAATAAGTGGGTTTTCAAATTGAAGAATGATAGCAAGAATCTGAGGTACAAAGCACGTCTTGTTGTAAAAGGCTTTGGGCAAAAGAAAGGCATTGACTTTGACGAGATTTTCTCGCCGGTTGTGAAGATGTCTTCTATTCGGGTTGTACTTGGCATAGCTGCAAGTATGAACCTTGAAGTTGAACAACTTGATGTGAAAACCGCATTTCTTCATGGTGATTTTGAAGAAGAAATTTACATGGAGCAACCAAAAGGTTTTGTAGAGAAAGAGAAAGAGAAATTTGTTTGCAAATTGAAGAAAAGTTTGTATAGCCTCAAGCAAGCCCCGCAGTAATGGTACAAAAAATTTGACTCTTTCATGATGAATAATGATTTTTCTAAAACCATTTCTGACCATTATGTGTTTGTGAAAAATTTCTCGGATGGTAAATTTATTATTCTTTTGTTTTATGTTAATGACATGTTAATTGTGGGTCAAGATTCTACCATGATTAACAAGTTGAAGTTAGAGTTGAGTAAATCTTTTGCTATGAAAGATTTGGGATCGGCAAAGCAAATACTTGGTATAAAAATTATTCGTGATCGCAAGAAGGGCTAATTTGGTTGTCTCAAGAAAGCTACATTGAGAAAGTTCTTGAGAGGTTCAACATAAATAAAGCAAAGCCGGTTGGTTGTCCACTTGTGGGTCACTTCAAGCTTAGTTCGAATCAATGTCCTACAAGTGAGAAAGACAAGGAAGAGATGCTGAAAATTCCTTATGCTTCAACGGTTGGTTCTTTGATGTACGCCATGGTTTGTACAAGGCTGGATATTGCTTACGCCGTTGGTGTGGTGAGTTGGTTTCTCTTTAATCCGAGTAAAGAATATTGGGCAGCGGTAAAATGGATTTTAAGGTATCTTCGAGGGACTTCGAAGGTGTCTTTGTATTTTGGGAATGGTAAGCCGATGCTTGATAGGTTCACAGATTCTGACATGGTCGGTGATGTTGATTCTAGGAAATCTACTTCGGGGTATTTGATGACTTTTGCAGGGGGAGCTGTGGCATGGCAATCTAAATTACAAAAATGTGTTGCTCTCTCAACTACCGAAGCTGAATATATTGCTATTACAGAAGCTTGCAAAGAAGAGTTATGGTCGAAGAAATTTTTACAAGAGTTGGGTTTGAAACAAGAAAAGTATGTGCTTTATTGTGATAGTCAAAGTGCTATTCACTTGAGTAAAAATTCTACTTTTCATGCGAGATCGAAACACATTGATGTGAGATACCACTGGATTCGTGATGTGTTAGATTCGAAGTTGTTGCAACTCGAAAAGGTTCACACAGATGATAATATTTCAGATATGTTGACAAAGACTTTGTTAAGGGACAAACATTTGAAGTGTCGAACTTTGGCGGGTATGGTTAATATCTCCAGCTAAGTTGGTAGGGGGAGAATTGTTGGGTATACCTCCTTATTAGAGTATGGGACCCAATTGGTTTGTTAAAAGAATTCTAATTTGGTTTGGTTTGGATATAATATATTTATATATATTATATCTAATTTTAAGATACCTAATTTAGTTTGGTAACAACTAGGGATTTAATAAAAAAAAACCCTAGATTCACAATATATATATATATATATATATATTGTTTTGTGTGTTTTGAAGGTGCAGCGGCAGCAGTGAATTCTTCGGGGGAATAGTGCTTGGCTATCAATTTCATAAATAATATATATATTCTTCTGTGAGAGAATTGTGCTGGCTAGGCAATTCAATTGGTGAATTAAAAGCTTGGTGGAATTTAATTCTATGGGTTTATTTTCGGCAGTCATTGTGTGACTAATTTGGTTCGTTATTTTGGGTCTTCATCAGCACTGGTTCTGAAGATTTTGGTTCATTTATTTGGTGAGGTCTTTCCTCTTTGTGATTATTTAGAATTTGCCTAAGGGTGGTTTGTGAGACTATTTGTGTCTCGCTTGTAATCGTTTGGAAACTTATTTGGTTGATAGTGGAATCGGATTTAGATCCCGTGGACGTATCTCACATTGAGGGAACCACGTAAAAATTCTTGTGTTGCTTTTGATTTAATTTTTTCGCATTAATTTTTATTCCCATTGATTGATTTACTTGTGGAGAATCATATATTTTTCCTAATAAAAAATTAGTGCATGAGAGCAATATGGCAACTTCTTATCAAAGTTTGAAATATATATATATATATATATATTTTGCAATTACAAAACACTTAAGTAAAGGAAAAATACTAAAAACAATTTCCAAATCCGGCCTAAAAGTCAAGAGATTAATTATTGATTCAAAAGTAATACATCAACTTGTTGAGTTGGCAATATGAGATTATTGAATAATTATTCAAAAAAAATCTCATTAAAAAATATAAATTATATAACATTTTCAAATCTAACGATATTAAATATATGGTCTTTTTATATAACTTAGTTATTTATTTATTTTTAAAATTATACAGGTATAGCTTTGGATTTGGTTACGAAACATCCCCAGGTAGCTAAATCAAGATTTAAGCGTCGATGTGCTTTGGGAGAAATGGCTAAAAAAGTGTCCGCATTCAAAAGTGGTAGTCATTTCAATCACTGGCAAAGCATAATATATCATTGTAAGTGTTTTGTAACCCCACTAACACTACAAAATAAGGTTCAAATTTATTTCATATATAAATTTCACGCTTTACAAATTCAATCCTAACCCCACTCTTTCTGCTATTCCATGCCTTATCTTATTTCTTTGTTATTTTACAGAAATATTACAAAATAATATATAGTATAAAATTGGCTTTAATTAAATCAGTTTGCCATAATTTTAAGACCAAAAAATATGTGGTCAATGAAGTTCTACTTATTTAGGAAATGCTTTTTTTTTCTTTCTTTTCCCTTCATCTTTTAGCCTTTCACAGTTTTTTTTTTTTTTTTTAACCTCTCACTAGTTGATGAAAAAAAAAATAAAAAATGGCTATAAAAAATATTTGGTTCATTGGAATGAAACAGAATAGAATGATCATTCTACCAAAATATTTATTTTTATGTCTAGTTGACTCAAAAAAAAATAAGAATTATTTATACGAAGATCCTCTAAACTATTAAGAAATATCAGTTTGACCTCCTAAAGTATAGGGTTAATCTATCAATAGATCCTAATAGTTGGATTTAATTCTCATCAAGTTCTATTGAAAATAAGTTCTAGTAAAATCGTCGCTAAAAATAATTTTTTATAACATTTTTTTATATGTTGCTAAAAATTGACAATTAATAACTTTTTTTGTCATGATTTTTATAAATTGTCGCTAGTACTTACAATTAGTGACATTTTTCTATGACGAATTTTTCAAATTGTTGCTAAAAGTTAAAATTAGTGACTTTTGTGACAATTTTTTTAAACTATCGCTAAAACTTATAATTAGTGACAATTTTTGTGACAATTTTCAAACTATCGTTGAAAGTTAACAATTAATGACTTTTTAATAGTATTTAATAAAAAATGCCATTAACTATTATAAGACTTATTGGACAATAAGTTTAACTATTAGGGCATATACGTAAGTCTCCCCTAAACTATAAAAGTGTACAAATGAATTTCTTAAACTATTGAGAAATATCACTTTGCCCCTCTAAATTATAAAAGTGTAAAAATAGATCCTCTAAACTATAAAAAGCATACCAATTGGACCGCCTAATAGATGGCGTCAAAGTGAAACATGTCAATAGTTTAGGACTATTTGAATGCTTTTATAATTTAGGAGGCAAAACAATACTTCTGAATAGTTTAGAAGATTCATTTGTATACTTTTATAAGTCAGAGGGTCAAAGTAATATTTTTTAATAATTTAGGCGGTCTTAACATAAATAATCCAAAAAATAATGACAAAATAAATTACGAATGAAATCATCATTTATTATTTGAAGAGATTAGTCATCTATACACGTGTTTAAAAAATGACTATTCCATTATATTTCAACTCATTCTAATAAATTAAGTAGTGCATGCGTGGGTTTGGGTATGGTATGCCTATGCTATGAAACACTAAAGTGGCTATCTTTAAGAACAATAATGTTCTAGTGTGTAATGCGTATTGTATGTAATTCTATTACAAAATTATATAAATTTTTACGAAGTTGTAAAAGTGATCTTACAAAAGGGTGTAAGTTAAACACAAATTCACGTAAATTTGTAAGAGCAATTCTACATGCCCACACTTTTCACCCACAATGATGTGATAATAGAGTTGAGTCTCATATCATTAAGTGTATAACAAATCAAGAGTTAACACATATGATACCATATCATTGTAGGTGTTCTTTGTGGGTCTCAAACATTTTTCAATTTGTATTTCAAAACTTTTATGAATAGGCTTAAGCGAATTTATATTCAACTTATTCATTTTTATAAGATCACTTACGTAAGTTCGTGAAAACTTACATAATCTTGTGAATGAGTTGCATACGATATGTATTGCACACCTGAGAATATTTCGTCATAGATTATAACTCAAATTATTTTTGGGTAAATTACATTGAACTCCTTTAAAGTATAAAAAAAATTAGAAGTATGTTGACAATTTTAACGTACTTGTATTGATCTCTCCTAAAGTAAGGCTAAAACGATTGAAATTAATACAAATAGTATAAAATCACAATGATAAATAAGAAAAATTATACATGTTATTGTAAAATATGAGTATCCCAATTTTTTATCTGTATAACTAGCAAATTATTGATAAAAATGAAATTTATTAAAATCTTAAAAAAAAAAAAAAAACCTAATATAACTATAGTTAAACTATGAATTTTGTTGTATTTTGCCCAAATTTCTTAGGCTAGTTTTTTCTTAAAGATGTTCCAGTGAAGGTGGAGAAATCTGCCGAATGCAGTGAAAGAGGTGACATTGAGAATCCAAGTAACACGTGTGGAGTGACAGCGCACAAGTACAATTGGACTCGATTTTTGGAGAGAATGTTATCATTTTCTGGTTTGTCATATAAACTCTTTGTTAATCCATAACCTTATTTATGAATGCAATTTGTTAAATCATTTTTTTTTTTTAATCATTGTATTATTTCATCAAAATTTTCAATTTTTACGTTGTTTTTTTTTTATTTATTTATTTATTTATTTTTTATGTGCTCATGATAAGGTTCAGTCTTTTAAGTCTAAGGCCAAGTTTGGCATACTTCAAATAATTCATCTTTTCATCTTTTTATCTTTTTTTCATCATATCACCTCTCTATTTTTGCGCACATCTTTTCGTAAAAAGATAAAAAATATACTTATTTAAGTCATCCCAAACAACCCCTAATTAGCTCTACACATAGACAACTCTATAAGATGAACTAAATGAATTAAATATGATGGTAAGTATGATTTCTCCAATATCCTCCTGCATCAAATCAAAATATAATTTAGATTCTTATTATTAACTATATTGTTATATAAGTCTAGCCTTCTCCTTATGTCCCTTCTCCTTATTTTTCTATTTAAAATAAAAAATATATATATACACAAGATTTAAAAGCTTGACTTTGTATAAAGCGAGCAAGTCAATTGGTGTCCTCAAATTTCTTCTCTCATTTTTCCAAGTATCATTTTTCTATTTAAGAAACTTATATAAAGGGAAGAGGGTAAGACTTTAACCTTAAACCAAAGGTTTCATGGAGAAGACTTTTACTCCTCACCATCACACAACATATATTAAATAGTTTTTTTTTTAATATATTTTTTTTTATTGCACACACATTGCATCTACCAACTGCTAGTTATTATCTACACTATCTATACCATTATATTATTATATAAAGTGAACATGTCTTTTAGGGTATGTTTGATTGGAAGGATTAAAGCATAGGATTGGGATTATTAATCCGTGGGCCCAATAATCCTATGTTTGTTTTGACATTTTGGTTTAGGATTATTAATCCAATGGATAATTAATCCAACAAGTTTGTAGGATTATTAGTAATGGGGTAGGGGTGGGATAACTAATACCACACTAATTTAATAGGATTATTAATACCTCACTATTAGTGTTGTGAATCAAACATGGCCTTAGTGTCCTAAATATGTCCTCATGCCATGTTACACGTGATTTTTTCTATTAAAAATAAATAAAATTAGATAGCTAAGTTAACAAGACCTTACTCTGGGAGAATGAAGCTTTTAGTACTAGAACCCCACACATTTTTTTTTAATTTTTTGTTTTTAATCAGCAAAAGATAAACTTTATTGATGAACCAAAAGAGTATTACATCAATAAAAAAAGCGATGAGTGCAAAGAGTATCAAAACAAAACAAACTAATCCCAACTAGGTTGGCATCGATAAATCCACCCAATCATATGCTAGCACACCATCAAGAGTTGATGAGTAACCAACCACAACAAAGTGACAAACCACACTCGAAACAAAAGCAAAACAAAAACAATTCAGCAGAAACACACAGCCAAGCACACAAACTCCTATGCTAATAGAGGACATAACACTAATCCACTCTAGCAAACAATTCCACAAGTAAGCAAGACAGTAGTACACAAGGTAACAAATAACACTTAGCAACAGGGCACCACGTGAACACCCTCTACCCTTGTAAACTAGATCACCACTTGGCACTTAATCCAACCTCCAGTGTAATATCTTCCTAACATGCTGCAAATTAGTCACCAACTCATGCACTGAGTAGAAACAATCTCTTCAATCAGCCTTAAACTGTAAGATAACTCTTGTCTTTATCAGTTCCAATAGCTCCACCATCGAAGGTTGTTTCCCATTAAAAACACACTCATTCCTCATCCTCCAAAACAACCAGAGAGTGGCCAATGGGATAACCTTCCAAATTATGCCTTCAACCTTCCTCCATTTGAACCCTCTCCACCAATCAAACAAACCTTCAACATTCTGAGGTGAAACCCATTGCATAGACCACCACTTCAATAGATTTGACCATAGTTGCCAAACAATAGGACACAATAATATAACATGGTTCAAAGATTCTAATTTCCCATTACATAAAACACAATCAGTCCTACTATTGTGATTCAAAAGCCCCAATCTATGAAGATATGCTCTTGATTTAATTCTGCCTTTCCAAACAAGCTAGCAAAAGAATTTCACTTTTGGTTGCGACACGTTCTTCCAAATGAACTTAGTGGCATCAAAAACCTGCCCAGATGTAAGTTTGTTGTATGTTATAGCAATACTAAACTTACCAGATGATGCAGCCTTTCAAACCAAAGCATCAGCTTTCTCTACCATATATGGGGTACTGCTATGTAACTTATCAATGAGTCTTTCCACTTCAAGTTCCTCCCAAGCCCTCAATCTTCTCCTAAACTTCAGGATCCATCTTGATGTAATCCTTTTCCTTTCAACCAGATAAGACAAAGAGACCTCTTTCTCCAATGACAATTCAAATAATCTTGGATGCTCCTTATTGAAACATTTTTTACCAGTCCAATGGTCTTTCCAAAATCTGATTCTAGTTCCGTTCCCCACTTGAACTTCACAGTTTGCCACATAAAAACTGTACAAATGAGTGTTACTGACGGCAGTATTGAGAATATCTCCCCAAAGTTTTGATCTTTGTTCACCTTTCTCTGTAAATGGTAATCATTTTCCACCTGCGCTGTCATATTTGCTAATTAATAGTGACTTCCACAATGACCTGTCTTCACACCCACACCTCTACCACCATTTAGCTAACAAACAGTCATTAACCACCCCTAACTTCCTTATACCCAAACCCCCAATGTCTTTGCTCTTTGTAACCTCCTCCCATTTTACCAAATACAACTTCTTTTTTACCTCTGATCCACTCCACAAGAATCTGGCCTGGATCCTGTCAAGTAATCTTACTACACTCTCAAGCATTTTAAAAATTGAAGGATAATAGATAGGTAAAGATGACAACATTGCTTTAACAAGTATTAATCTAAAGGATAGAAGCTTCCTTTTCCAAGAAGCTAATTTTTCCTTGAATTTGTTAATTACAGGCAACCAAGTACTTCTTCTCCTTAGACTTGCACCCAGTGGTAGCCCAAGATACATAAAAGGTAGCTTTTGACACATTCAGTTCAATTATTTCGCAAAAAGCTCCCCAACATCCTCATTGACCCCAACCCCACACACATGACTTTTATAAAAGTTAATCTTTAACCCATATATCACTTCAAAGCACCTCAAAATCCTTTTTATAATTTGAATCCCATGCCCATCTGCCTCATAGAATACTATTGTATCATCCACAAATTGAAGGTGACTAACATTGATTTCCCTATGACCAATTACAACTCATTTTATGAAACCCAGAGATCTAGCTCTTTGGAAAAGCATGTTCAAACCTTCAGCCACAATGTTAAAGAGAAAATGTGACATTGGATCCCCTTGTCTAAGACTCTTCTCTGGACTAAACTCTGCAGTAGGAGATCCATTAACAAGGATTGAAAACCTTGCTGAGGATAAGCACTCTTTCATCCATCTAATCCACTTATCTTGGAAACCAAACTTGGACATTAAATCCAAAAGGCAATCCCAATTAACAGTGTCATAAGCCTTTTTGAAATCCAGTTTAAGAATTATCCCTCTCTTCTTTCTTTTCTTCCACCAATCAATTATCTCATTAGATATCAATACCCCATCCAAAATGGTCCTTCCGCCTATGAAGGCAGATTGAGCTTTACATACAATTCCAGGTAAAACTTTCGTAAGTCTATTTGCAAGAACTTTAGATAGTATCTTATAAAGAGACCCAATGAGACTGATTGGCCTATAATCTGCAACTCCGCCAGAGTTCTCCTTCTTGGGAATTAATGTTATAATCGAACTGTTAACTCTTTTAGCCAAACATCCATTAGAATGAAACTCCTTTAAAAAATTAAGGATATCTCCCTTAAACACATTCCAACATTGCTGGAAACACAACATATTGAAGCCATCAGGCCCTAGAGCTTTGTTACTGTCACTTTCTCTCACTGCTCTCCATATTTCATCTTCAGAAAAGGAGCTATCAATCCAGTAAAATTTTCATCATCTCCAATAAGCTTGAAATCACCAAGCAATTTGGGTATAAATTTCTAGTCTTTGGCAAATCTTCTTTGAAAGTAGTTAAGCACCTCAAGCTTTACCCTTTGTGGTTCTTCATGTAACTCCCCATTCACTTCAATTGAGTTCAACAAATTCTTATTCTGACGACTTATGGCCACCACATGGAAGAATCTAGTATTTTTATCACCCTTCATGCTCCAATTCATCTGAGATTTTTGTAACCATAACCATTCCTCTCTTCTACTGAGTGCCCAGACCTCCTTTCTAATTTCTCTTCTCCTTCTTATTTCCTCCTCATCCAGATTCCTAGATTCTACCACTAGATCAATGGCATGGAGCTCCTCTTCAGCAACCTTTAAAGCCTCAACTACATTCCCAAATACCTCACTATTCCACTTTTTTAGTACAAATCTCAGGCTTTTTAATTTATTCATAATCACATACCCTGCCCAACCTGATATAGTTGAATCCTCCCATGATTTTTTGACAAACTTTCGGAATTATGGGTGTAGGGACCAAGCATTTATGAATATTATGATACTATTTTTTTTTCATCATTTTGTTTTATTTTTATTTACTTGAATTGTACACACATCGCATGTGCCAATTGCTAGTTATTAAAAGTGAACAACTACCTTGGTGTCCAAATTTTGGTGGCTTCTCCTTATGCCATGTGTCTTCATTTTCCTATTTGAAATTAATAAAAATAAATAAATAAATAAGATAGTTGACAAGAGTATGACTCAAACCTTATACCTTAAGTTTAAGAACAAGGCTCTTACACTTGCATAGCATACCATATATAGTAAAAGTTTCGTTTTATTTTTAGTTATTTTAATTACGTGTGCCAACTGCTAATTATTATTAAGTGAAAGTTGGACTTGATGTCTAAATCTTTACTTATTTCTCGCTATGCCACATAGCTTATTTGCCTTTATGCAATGTATCTCTCATTTTTCTATTTAAAATAAAAAGTTATATAGAGAAAAATATATAAGATTTGAACCCGTGACCTTAGGTTTAAGAAAAAAGACTATTATCACTTGAAGCACATATGTTAATTTGGTCACCCAATTAATTTGTGTTTATGATATAGCATTACTCAAATTGCTTGTAAATCTTTTGCAAAATTTGTTTTAGTTTGTCGATTACACAATGCTCATAACATTTTCCTTCCATATGAAAACAAGTTTTATTGTGTTTTATGACATACAGCAAGGCAAAAAGTGAAGGCCATGCTTTGGAGAGTCTTGGAATTATTAGGTAATGGACGAGAAGTACTAGTTAATTAAACATACATTGATTCAGTTCTCTCTTTTTTAGTACTTTTTTTTTTAGTTGTACACACATGATTCAATTATAACTTACCATATCTACGATTTTTGCAATTGCAGTGCCTCCCATTAAACACATACGAGAGCAAAAATTGAAGCACAATCAAGCACTCCAACTAGTCACATGCTTATGTAAGCAAGTCAGATCTTTAAAAGACTTGAAAGCTTATAGATCACTTGCTAGATGTCCACTCCTTGAAGCAGCAAAGTTAGGGATTCACGAGATCATAGAAGAGATTGTGAATTCGTTTCCTAGAGCAATTTTTGCTAGAGACTCAGAAGATCTAAACATATTTGAACTCGCAGTTATACAGCGCCAAGAAAATGTTTTCAACCTCTTGTATCAAATGGGAGAGTATAAACAATCTAGCACACGAGGGGTAGATGATAAGGGGAACACACTGCTACACTTGGTTGGAAACCAAGCACCTATAGAGAAACTCAATGTTGTTCCTGGAGCAGCTCTGCAGATGCAACGTGAGTTACAATGGTTTAAGGTAATACAGTACTTCTTTCTATTCCAAGGACTAATTACTGATGTATGTTAGTAATGTTTGTGTGTGGCCATCTGCATTTCTTTTGCTTAAGTACGTGTAGTTTCAATTTAAGATCAAACAATAATTTTTCAATATTTAGACTTAAAAAAGTCAAATACGTTGATCCATTAATTCAAAATGTTTGGTTATCATACAGGAAGTGGAGAAGTTTGTGAACCCTAGTTATATAGAAATGCAAAATGACCGTGGAGAAACTCCTTCAACAGTTTTCACCAATAACCACAAGGATTTAGTAGTTAAAGGAGAGAAATGGATGCAAAATAGAGCGGCCTCATGCACAATTGCAGCAACACTCATTACTGCTATAGTATTTGCTGCTGCAATAACTGTTCCAGGTGGGAACAATAACACAAGTGGACTTCCAATTTTCTCCACAGAAAAAGCATTTATCATTTTTGTAGTTTCGGATGCAATTGCTCTATTCATGTCCACCACTTCTCTTCTGATATTCTTGTCCATCCTCACTTCGCGATATGCTGAAGATGATTTTCTCTATGTTCTTCCCCAGAGGCTGATTATTGGCTTTGTTACATTGTTCCTCTCCATAACAAGCATGATTGTAGCCTTTAGCTCGACAATCTGTCTTATGTTGGGTGACAAGAACAGCTGGCTACTTGGTTTAGTTGTCACATCAGCATGTTTACCAATTTCTTCTTTCATGCTCCTACAGTTCCCCCTCCTTGTGGATCTCATGTCTTCAACATATGGACCTGGCATTTTCGGCAAGCAAAGTAATCAGTCTTTTTATTAAGATCAACAAGAAGATGAAGAATTCCAAGCATATATCTGGTTTCATCCATTATAACCAATAAATGGATTATGGTCCCTAAGTTTTCTTCTGTAATAAAAACATGTTGCAATGTTCAACATGAAAAATAGTGTGACAAATGATAGTAACATATACAAGTGCAATGGATTTCGGAAAAATGTTTGTTTTGATTTAGATTTTGAAAAAGATTAAGAATTGCCACTTGGTTTTAGGGTAAATCAAGGAACCAAAATGTTTTGACTCCAAAATAATGCATGGTCTAACTTCACTAAAGACTAGGTCTTTGCGGGCTAAGGTACAAGATGGGAAGGTGTGAGACACATCTTGCCCGACCATAAGGTCAGCTTTTACTCATCAGTATTGGTTCGTAAATTAAATTTGTTTGGCCTTTGATTTGGGGGTTCAGATCTCCTGTCCCAAAAGCCTGTCCAAACTCTCTGTCCCTTAATTCTTGTGCTGACATGTATCTAGTCTTAAAGATCAATTATAACTCCATTAACCCTCTGTTTTGTATGGCTTCTCTCTCCTCCCAACAAATATGACTCATTTAGACCTGAAAATAGGAACAGAATCAGATCGATCAACCGTCTATCATCATCAAAGATTTCATGTTGTTGGCAATTGACACATACAATTTACAGATACTGGCAATCAAAAGTATTCAAAAGTAGCCATTTGTATCATTCATACCTGCAAACTAGATGTATGAACAAAACCAGCAAGATGTAAAACAGGGGAATTTGCGAATTGGGGTTACCCTTATTACACAATTTCTATTCCTAAAAAAATTACACACTCTCTCCCTTCAATTTAATAATATTATTATTATTACAACATACAGGTAGTATATATGTGACATTATATATATGCTATGAAGCACCGACACGTTCCTAGGCTCTGCGTACGAGTGTCAGACACGTGTCGGACACGGACACGCGTCAAACACGTGGTAGACACGTGTCCAACACTCTCTCTAACGTGTCTCCTTTTTTTTTTTTGAAATCTTCCAGTCGAACACGCTATGGACACGGCGGGACACTTTTCGGACACTCGTGAGGTGGATCGAAGAAGCCCTAACTGTTTTCCTTGATCGACAGAGAAAGAGAGAAAGGGATCGAGGGAGACAGAGAAAGAGAGAGATCGAAGGATGAGAGAAGACAAAGAAAGAGAGAAAGAGATCGAGGGAGAGGAGAAGCCTAACCTGTTCAGATCAATCCAAGAAGCTGAAGCTGAGGTATTCTTCTTCTTCTTTTCTTCTCCTTCTTCTCTTCGTTTTCGTCTTCTCTGTCTCCATCATCTCTATTCTTCTTCTCCTCTTCACTTTCTTCCTTTCCTCCTCCTTTTCGTCTCTCCCTTTTTTGACTCTTTCTTCCTTTGCTTTTTGACTTCACTCTCTCTCTCCTCTATCGTTTCTTTTTTATATTTTTTTTTCTTCTCTTTTTTCTTGATTCAACGTTTCTCTCTCCTCCTCTTCTTTCTTCTTTTTTCTTTTTTCTTTTTTCTTTATCCTTATTTTTATGTTAAACTTAAAATTCATAAAATAAATTATTTTTATTTAAAAAACTCATTTTTATTAATTTTTTTAAAAAATAATTTTATTAGATTATATAAGAATTAATGATTTTATTTTTATTTTAGATATATAATAAATAAATAAAATTATATATATTAAACATGTCCCCAGCATGTCGTGTCTCCTATTTTTTGAAAAATTACGTTTTCGCGTGTTCGTGTCGTGTCCGTGTCGTGTCTCGTGTCCATGTCTGTGCTACATAGTATATATGTATATATATGGTGTTGTTAATATTAAAAGATGAGAGAGAGGGTGGTTCGCTGCATCGTCTTCGTCGTCGACGATTGGTAGCGGATCTCATGAAATTCATATCATAACTGTGACGACGAGCTGTTCTGGTCGCCGTTGGCATACTCCAACTAGGTAGATCGTGCAATCAGCTCCGCTGAACTTTGAGATGCAGCAGATCAACCACTGTTAAACATTTACATTATCGCTGCTTTCCAGGGCTGCGAAACAGCCACCTCGTGGCGATGATTCGGTCTGACCACGGTGATGAAGCCGAAACACAGATTAAGGTGCGCAGCAAGGCGGCGAGGACAACCACGAAGTCGGAAGGTAAGGGATATGGCAGATGAGTTGTGAATCGTGTAAGTGCAAAAAGGTGGGTTAACGGAGTTATAATTGATAGTAAACAGTGAACATGTGTCAGCATAAGGGGATGGGACAGGGAATTGGGACAGGCTTTTGGAACAGGGGACCTGAAGCCTTGATTTGGAATGCATGAATGACAATTATGGAAAGCGATACAAATATAACTAAAGCTAATATAAACCAAGTAGTGGAATAGGGATACTACTCCATGGAAATGCAACTCAAGTTTGTGAAATCTCATGATCAAATTGTTAACGTATTCACAAAGCCTCTCAAGTATGAAGACTTTACATAGTTTCGGACTTTGCTTGGCATTACAAAAAATCAAGTTTAAAGAGGGGTGTTGAAATAATAAACATAATTTTAGTTGAGTTAATTTACAGATTTCTGGAAGTATATATTTATGTTTTGTTCATTTATTTTTGGTGTTCATGTATTTCTAGAGTGAATGCATTTAGGAAGATTCATCTATGATTCATTGGATATAGAAATTGATTTATTTCTATGCTTGCCCATTAGAGCCTTTAAATACCTCATGTAATCAGATTTTCTAAGTGGAATCAAACATTCAGTGCCTAGAATTCCTCCTCTTTCAATCCTTCTAGCACTTGCAGAGTCCATGGTGTTCCGGAGGAATACATCCCCGTTAGGCATTAAATCAAACTGTTTGCGAGCATAGTCCATTGTTGGGTCCAAGGAGCGAGCTAAGGCGATGAGTTTGGTGGATAGTAGGAGGCTTTTGTGGGACTTATTTGTGAGGATCAGAGCATGGATTCATTTGAGGTCTGAAAGAGAAGAACAAGAATTCAAAAGGTAGTTAAAAGGGAGGGAGTGGTAGTTAGTATGGAAGTGAGATGGGACATACAAAATGGGCTTGAGTTTTCTAAGGACTGTGAGCAAGGAAGTGGCTAACATCAACTTCGCATCCCTTTAATAACAGATAGCAATTGGGTCTGGGATATCACTTTTTAGTGTACCGTGTTTGGTTCGGAGATTTGAGCACAGATTTAGAAATAGAAATGAAAAGGGAAAAGGTATGTGAAATTAAGTGAAATATAATTATATTTTATTTACATTTCACTTACATTTTTCATTTTTCTTTCCAAATTCCTCCTCAAATCCCCAAACCAAATACACTATAAATATTTTTTTCCCTATTGGTAGTACGGTTTGAGGCATTAGCAGGCATTAGCATTCAAAAAAGACCCACTCTAGCTGGGACTCCAACCAAAAGAACCATTAAAAAAAAAAATTAAAAAAGTTTCATAACCTCCCTCTCCTCTTCAATAAATTTTAGTGTAAGTTATACTAATCTCCTTTGAAATTTAAAGAAAATACAATAAATCTCAAAACTTTGACAAAATTACATTAAAGTTTTTTTTCTAAATTTTAATTTATCTAACGCTTAACTTCATTTTCAACAATAATTTGTCAATTATATGAATAAAAAAAATAATATTGTCATTTCTTTTATAAAAAAATATAAACTTTACGTTATTTATTTTTGTGTTTTCATACCATCTGTATTAGTTTTAGTTCATTTAAAAAAAAGTCAATATAATTATATCAAAATTACGGAGCTTACTATATGTATTTTTTTAATCCTCAAGGGAGATTAATGTAATTCACCCTAAATTTCAAGTTAGCCTTTTCTCAAATTCAAATTTAAATGAGAGAATTTGTAAGGTTTGTGAGGCCCATCTCGTTGATCCCATTTAAATGATGGGGAAATTACCCATAGGTCCCATGGGAAATATGTGATCTCCATTTAATCCCATAACTTTTTCACTACACCAAAAAGTCCTTTCCTCTCTCTCTCTGCTTTTTGCTTCCCTTCCTCTCTCGCCTCCTTTAACCCTAATCTCAGTCCTAAAGTCAAACAAGAAGGCGATGAAGAACTAGAACAAAAAGACGATGACGAACAAGAACAAGAAGACACTTATCCTCAGATCTGTGCTTAGATTGAACAGATTTGTGTATATATCTTTGTCAATTTCTCTCTCTTTCTCTCTCTATTTACAGATTTTTTTTTGGGATAGTTGTTGATCTATGGTTGTTGTTGTTGATGATGAAATAGATCTATAATATCATTGAAACAGATCTGTAATGACTCAGATTTGTACAGATATCACACAGATTTGTAATGAGAAAATTTTCGAATTCTGAACAAGTATTTTTCGAGTTTTAGTTACAGGCGGTGAAAACTGTAAAATTTTGCAGTTTCAAATTTTTTTTTTGGTGCTGGAATGAATCATGGTTTAAAACTGTAAAATTTTGCAGTTTTATAACATTCTTTAGAACTGTAAAATTTTACAGTTTCATAACATGTTTTTTAATTTTTTTTTTCCGGCAATATTCTAGACATTCCGGTGAGTCTCCGGCGACCGTTAAACGGAAGTCCGACGGTAGTAAGATGTGAACAGTGTCTATAAATTAAAAAAAAAAAAGGATTTTTTGGTAACAATTAAAAATGTGTTGGACTAATTGGTGCAAGTATTTTGTTTTGGGATTAGTTGGGTTTTGAACTTGTTACATGGGACTTATCAGTAAGTTCCTCTTAAATGATCCGTACCGTTTACTTTGTAAGGTATTCAATGTTTAACATTCATGGAAAAAAAATTACTTTGATCCGAAAATTGTTACCTTTTATTTTATCGCGTTTGTTTTTTAAAAAAAAAAATAGGCAACAATATGTTTTTTAAGAATAGATCATTTATTTTTTTTGGAGACAAGGACGGTAAAATGGAAAGGATAAGATGATTTGATCGATTTAATTTTTTTTTCTTCATAAATCATATACATGGAGGGATTTTAAAAAATAAATGGTTTGAATAATCAAAACGGGACTCGTTGTGGTGCTCCACAGCCATCTCAAGTTCTTCCAAATTCATATCATATCATGTCATATATATATATATATATATATATTAGGGCAAATTACATATACCTCTCTCAAGATTTAGCTAAATTACAGATATCCCCTGAGGTTTTGAAAATTACAAATAGCTCATGAGGTTTATATTTTCATAACAAATTACCCCCTGAGGTTTATATTTTCATAA